AAATTTTTAATATTTCATTAATTCTCTAAAATTTTCTTAATGAAAATTCTTATTTGATTTTCGTGTATTTCAATATAAATTATGTAAATGTTTCATACCGAAAATTGAACACGTGAACAATATGCAAATTGAAACTGAATGCAAGCAGCGCGAGTCGTGTAATTGCCGCTACACGCAAATGCTCTAAGAGGGGAAGACTTTAAATGAATTTAATTCGAATTTTCGGTTACGTCTGCGGCAATTACACAACGATATGTTAATACGTTCGAACCATAAATAAACTTGTTGTTATTCACTTACTCAAAGTATACTTAACGAGTGTAATGGATGAACGTATCGAATAAAGTCTGTATCCGACTATGAAATATATGCAAAGTGGAAAACCTAGTAAAACACGCGATTATTGCGCACTCAGGTTTTCCAACGATCCGAATGCGTTAAGAAAATCGTTAAGAATTATGTGCAAACATATATGTAGTGAAGCAAATTGTTGACGGTGTTGCAAACTGCGAGATTTTGCGTAAAGCCGCGAGATTCTGAAAAACCACAACGAAATTATCGATGGAGCAATCAAAAATTAGCGCTTTTTTTTATATATATATATATGACGACGATAATAATAGCGAATGTTGCACTTTCAAATCGCAGCAGCCGCTTACGTCAACCCGAAACCGCGTGCGTTTTGTTTCCTTGCTGCAGTTGTCGAAAAAGGTATTTAGCAAATTGCGAGGAGAAATAAATATGTATTAATAATAATAATAATGAAAGAAAAAAAGTAGTTGTTATTCTTGAGACTTGCGAATGTATCGGACGGAGAGCCTCAATTGGCAATCATTGCACAATATACGTAATATTTTCTGTTATGCATTTCGTCGAAGGCGAAACGCGACACGTTCCACGGCTGAATTATTATATTTTCAACCTTGCGGATAAAATTATCCCGTGCATCTGCGTACGTACGTTGATGCTAGTTAGCTGGTAGTTTCATCAGACGTTTTGTTTATTAGCGACCGAAATGCCATCATCTTCTTTATCCTCTGGAGACTGCGATTATTATGATGAAGAGGATGATGGGATTAGGCCGAGAGCAGAAGTCGTCCGATTCCGTAAATCGATTTTGCTTTAGCCATTCCGATTTGCTTTATCGTCTCATTCATCAATCAGGAATAACTTAATTAAACGCGATTTATTTCACTCTTCGATTTATGCCTGGACAGAGACAAAACTACCAGCAATGCAAAACACAAAACGAAAACGTATTTATGTTGCACGGATAACAATTTCTCGAATACATTTTATAAACAAACATAAAACTTAATTAATTACTATGAACGTAAAGACATTACTTAAAATTTAAGCTGAAAACTAGAAAGTCATGAATTAAAAAAAACAAAATATTTCTATAATGAAGACATTTTCGAGAAAATCAATGAAATTAGAATGAATACAAAAGATGCATATGAAAGCTGAATGTTTGGGGAATCTAGCAAGTATCGATATATTACTGTGGTTTTATCCGTTTGGCTGTAATTCGTGTTCAAAGTTTAAAAAATGATTCGAAAAAGCAGTGTTTTTACA